CTCTTTCCAAAGGTGGGGGGGGCATCTCTCAAATTCTGCAGCTTGCCTGGAATGTAGCCCCCACCCTGCCCCACAGCAGGTCAGCTCAGGGTTGAAACTGCCCACGGGCCTCTCTGGGCGTAGGACAAGCAGTGTATATAAATAGAAACGAGGCCAGTTAGAGACACTGCGTTACTGTACCAATGCAACTTACAGTATTGTCATCGCTCCTATTGTGACTAATAGGGAATAACTGCTTGGCTTTGCCTATGAAACCTGCTCCATGGGCCCCTGCTACATCGCCCGGCAATGCTATTGGCAGGGAAAAGTCTACCAGGGCTGGCAGGTTACCTTTTATTGTTAAAATGTCAGTCTGCTAAACAGGATGGCCGGGTTAGTGGAGTCCTGGATTTTGCATTGAAATAATAGGCGGTATATAATGCTTTCAGATAGAAACCTCCTCCTCAGTTCTCCTCCACCTCAACTGCAAATATATGTAGAAAAGCCCAGTATTATAGTAACTTTTTTTTTAAAGCGTAGATTATGGGGTTTTGTATGGTGCAAGTCTGAGGACGGATTCTAAAAGAGCTCAGTATGTTGGTTGCTGACCCTGTTGGAAATATGGGTGAAATCCCACTGAAGTCAATGGTAAACCTCTGATTTCAATGCAGCTAGGATGAGCGTGTCAGTCAGTCAGTCACAATTAGCACGTCTGAAAGCCTGGACCTTAGAGCCGAGCTCTTTTGAAAACCTAGTCCCAATTGTAGGTATTGAGCCCTTAAGTTCTGGCCCTGGATGTCTAGATGGATGCGGGCAGTGGAGGCAGCAGTTTGAGGTCCCTTCATCAGAAGGGAGAGTCAAAGGAGAGTAAAGTCTGTCTTTGAAACCTACACCGTTTAAAAGAGAATCCTGCGCAAAATAGCTTCATTTAAAGGTGACCTGCACAAGGAGGAATGAAACTGGACTTGTTCCCTTCTTTTCCTGCAAAGCCAACCCAAAAGATTTTCCTTGAAAATCTAGGTCTTATCTAGCTCTTAACCGGGAAGTCTCTGTGCTGACTGGAGTCTTGGTATCCCAGTTAATGGGGGAATTGAGACCTGACTAAATGACGCTGGGACGGCACCAGGTTAGCTGCACAACTAACCACTATAACTGGTGGGGATTTCTAGACAGATGAGGCCAATGCCTGTACGCAGCATGGAGAAAGAGAGAGTGCTGGTGGTGGAATTTTTATTCAGACGGTTAAAAAAAACCCCAAGGATTTTGAAACATTTACTCAACAAACACTTGGGAGGAAAGCACCTCCTGTCAATTACCGAGGAAGAAGAGGATGAGAGCCCCCAAGGAGATATTTGAGTCAGCTAGGAAGTTCTCCAGCAAAAGACAAACCAGTGTTGCTTATTTTTAAGGCAAAAATAAGCCACTTTTAAATTTTTCAGAGGGGTGCAGTTAACTTCTTTTATACTTCACAACAAAACTAAGGCCTAGTCTATATTCAAGGCTGTACTAGTTGAATTTTAAATCAGTTTAAATACTGATTTTAGCTAAACCTAGCAAGGACACTCTTAAGCAGCATTGCCAACCACAATTGTTTAAAAATCATGAGTCAGTCGTGAGATTTAAAGAGAATAAATGTTGGGTTTTTTATTTGGCTTCTGTTTTTTGTATCTATAAGGGTCACATTTTAAAGCATTTTTTCCACAATCATGAGGGCTAGGAACTTAAAAAAAAAAATTAAAGCTGAAACTGTCACATGACTCCAGGAGCTGGGGCTTTAAGAAAAATCCCAAATATCACAAGATTTGGCACCTCTGTTTAATCCAAATTAAAAATGGCAAGGAATCAAATTAAGGTAAATCTACATAAACCAAGTTAAGGTAATCCAATTTGAACTTTGTTTATATAGATTTAAGTGTGTCCTGGTGCAACTTTGAATAGAGACATGACTCAAAGATGCAACCAAACTTTTTTTTGTAGGTTACCTTTAAACATATAAAAATGCGTTGGCAGTGTCTGAGACCGAAACTTTGCAGGACTGGGAACCTTAAAGTGAAACTGAGTACAAACAAAAGTGAAACCTATTTAATTAATTTTCCTTGTCCAAGGCGACAAATGTGCCCTGGAACTCCCCCCCACCCCTGG